GACACTCTAAAACAATTTTGTTGATGGACATTGTTACGAAACATCCCTCGCTTTTTTTGGCAGTATTCTCTTGGAAGACACTGGTTCGGACAGGTGGAAATTTCGAAAACAGCGAAACTTAAACTCCACGACCAATGAAGTCATGCGTGAACAAAAATTACCTGGTCCACTTGTATAACAACTATTGTTGTCCAAAGTCTTGATGGTATATCATTTGCCATTTGGACGAGAATAGTTGTCCTTGCACCTGTCACGCAAAATCATCTCAGCAAACCTGAAGATCTGATGCTCCAAAATGCAACCCCTTTCAAGAAATCAGCGCCCTGACCTCCTAACATCTCTGATGAACATGTCTTTTGTGACTGCGCCTACCACGCGAAATGCATCTTTGAAGACCTTCTTCAAATGTCCCACGCCTGCCATCGCTTTTGAATGCTAAAAACCCTCACGTTTGGCTCACCTTTGACAAGGTGCACAATCCCTTGCGCCTGCCACGCGAAAGCGCATCTGAGCGTCCAAAAGTGGTCCGTACGTGGTGTGTTTTGTATGACTTCGAAATTTGCTTCGCGCCACAACGGCATGGACTTTTTCAACATCTCAACTTCCAAAAGTGGCCCGAGCATGGTGTTTTTTTATACATTGTGACTTAGAAATGTGCTTCGTGCCACCGGCGTGCACTTTTTTCGACATCTCAACTTCCAAAAGTGGTCCGAACCTGGTGTCTTTTGTGCATTTTGACTTCGAAATGTGCTTCGCGTCACAACGGCGTGCACTTTTTCGACGTCGCAGCTTCCAAAAGTGGTCCGAACCTGGTGTCTTTTGTACATTTTGACTTCGAAATTTGCTTCGCGTCACAACGGCGTGCACTTTTTCGACGTCGCAACTTCCAAAAGTGGTCCGGAGCTGGTGTGCTTGGTTAAGAATGGGGGATAAACTCCCTTCCAGCAGCTTTGTTTTCTTTTAGATACTCCTCTTCTCCGTGTCCCTCCCCCCTTGTTCCCCCTCTCTCCTCAATTTTTCCTAGTCTTCGAAATGTGGTTTGCGCCACAACGGCGTGCAATTTTTCATCTCTCATCTAGCCAGATGGCTCCGCACCCGCCGCTTTAGCGAGCCTACTTTTCGACCCTCCGGAGCCACAAATCATTGGAAAAACACAGTGTTTCGCGACTTTCCTACCTTTTCGCGCACCTGCATCTTCTTTCTTCTGACTCTTTCTCTTCTCTATCTTCTCTCTTCTACTCTTCTCTTCTCTCTGACTCTTCCCATCTCTGCTTTTCATCTGTCCATATTGTCGGAAGTTTGACTTCTAAACTTCCTTCGAATAAATAGTGATTTCATGTTATTAAATTCCCAATGCCCTGGAACTTAACTTCCGTTTGGATACGACAAATTATGACCCTGATAAATCCTGAAGCGCTAAGGCTTATGGCACCCAGAAGGTCAATCAGTTCATGAAGGGCATTTAAAGCAATGATGTGTTCATTGATAGGTCTCAAGGGCTGGAATTGAGCAATGCTCTTTATGCCTTCATCAAGGTGTATGCATTTGAAGCGCATGCCTCTTACAACAAGGGGGTGTCAGCTTTTGCAATGTATCCAAAGCTTCATTTTTTACACGAAGTAGCTTATACCATGAAATGGCAGTGCCACAAATGTGGCATCTGCATCAACCCTGCAACATTTAGTTGTAGTATTGACGAGGACTTCATTGGAAGGACAGCTGCTATCACCCGTTGTGTAGCTGCTAGGATCATGGCCAAGCGCACACTGCAGCGCTACTTGTGTCTATTTCAGTGTGCATGGACGCATGTGTGATTTGCCTTGCTGGAAAGGGAAAAACATTGTGCAACTTAAACCAGGCCAAGGGCATAGGAAGGGAACAGATACCTAAAAAAGGTGCTTATTTTGGAGTTTGTTTTGGCATAAACCTCGTGGACGTAAAAAACCGTACTTGGACGTAAAATACCATCGGGGAAACCTCTTGAACGATCTTGAACATAAATAACCGTTCATGGCCGTGAACTTCCAATCACTGCCACAAATAGTTTACCATTTGCATCTTCGACAGGAATGGTTGTTTGGGCAGGGCAGCAGGTATGTATAAATAATGCATTTCCACTGAAAACGCATCACCTTGCAGCATTCCCCTTAGTCAGGAAGGCGCAACCATATGGCACACATTCGCGCATGGCACGGTCGAGGGTGCGAAACACGCAAAAACCAAACCTGTTAAACATGCAAGAGAGACATTTGGCTGTCTGAAGCGCTGCCCTGCCACACAAAGGGGATCTGCACCCCTCGCAAGTGCTGCACCTGTAGTGCCAACATCACTGCAACGTCGACGCATGAGAAAAGTATAGTGCTTGTGAAATGAGGCTGGCCTTGATAGTCACTGGGAATCACTCTTTAGGCGGCCCTCACACGTTTCAAACAGGTTGTGATTGTTTTGGGATTTCTGGGACCCCTGAGTGGTATTCACGCTTCGCGTGGGGTGGCCGCCCACACCGCAGGTTTATTTCGGTCCGTGAGAGAGGGCTAAGGGTGGTGTGGAATATGAGGAGCAGAGCAGCACAGGAGAATTGACATACATAACTGCTGGGTTCGTGAATATTTTTTAAGTGGACTGAAAATATGTTTTTTTGCCGCATGAATTGGACATGTCAGCAGCACCCAACGCAAAAGAGTAGAACAAGGGGAGCAAACCAAGAGTAGAACAAGGGGAGCAAAGAGTAGAATTTTCACTTTCCCCGTGGGGGCTCCCCAAGCTAGGGAATTGTCACTTTTCCCCCCCGTGGGGGCTTCCCAAGCTAGAGAACTTTCACTTTTCCCCGCCGTGACAGCTTCCCAAGCTATGGAATTTTCACTGTTCCCTCCCTTGGAGGCTCTCCAAGCTGCGGAATTTCAAATAGCTAGGCAACGACGCCTAGATAGTCCCCCAAATCCCGTGTTCTTTGAATGTGTTTCCATGTTTTTGCAATGGTTTCCTTCAAAGCACGGTACTTTACACTTTTGTCGCCATAAAACCGGTCGAAAACATCATGTTCGACAATGCTTCCAATTGGGGCTTCCCAAGCTAAGCAATTTTCACTTTTCCCCCCCGTAGAGGCTTCCCAGGCGAGAATTTTCACTTTCCCCCCCCGTGGAGGCTTCCCAAGCTAAGGAATTTTCGCTTTTCCCCCCCCGTTCCCTCGTTGGGGCCTTCCAAGCGAAGAGCTTTTCACTTTCCCCACCCGTGGGGGCTCCCCAAGCTAGGGAATTTTCACTTTTCCCCCCCGTGGGGGCTTCCCAAGCTAGGGAATTTTCACTTTTCCCCGCCGTGACAGCTTCCCAAGCTATGGAATTTTCACTTTTCCCTCCCTTGGAGGCTCTCCAAGCTGCGGAATTTCAAATAGCTAGACAACGACGCCTAGATAGTCCCCAAATCCCGTGTTCTTTGAATGTGTTTCCATGTTTTTGCAATGGTTTCCTTCAAAGCACGGTACTTTACACTTTTGTCGCCATAAAACCGGTCGAAAACATCATGTTCGACAATGCTTCCAAGTGGGGCTTCCCAAGCTAAGCAATTTTCACTTTTCCCCCCCGTAGAGGCTTCCCAGGCGAGAATTTTCACCTTTTCCCCCCCGTGGAGGCTTCCCAAGCTAGGGAATTTTCGCTTTTCCCCCCCGTTCCCTCGTGGGGGCTTCCCAAGCGACGGAATTTTCACTTTGCCCCCGTGGGGGCTTCCCAAGCGAAGAAATTTTCATTTTCCCCCCCTGTGGGGGCTCCCCAAGCTAGGGAATTTTCACTTTTCCCCTCCGTGGGGTTGGAGGCTCTCCAAGCTGCGGAATTTCAAATAGCTAGACAACGACGCCTAGATAGTCCCCCAAAGCCCGTGTTCTTTGAATGTGTTTCCATGTTTTTGCAATGGTTTCCTTCAAAGCACGGTACTTTACACTTTTGTCGCCATAAAACCGGTCGAAAACATCATGTTCGACAATGCTTCCAATTCCCTTATCTCCCCAACCGTTGAAAATACCGCTATTTACTGTGTTTTCTTCAATTTTTCCATGTGCCAATGCCGGTAGCCAACTCCAACATATATATATATTATATAAGAAATCCTTCCAAAACATTGTTTTTGACAGTGTTTTTCCAATGTTTCCAGTCAAACAGACGGTAATTTACACGTTTTTTGCCATAAAGGCAGTAAATCCTTCCAAAACATTGCTTTTGACAGTGTTTTTGTAATGTTTCCAGTCAAGCATACGGTAATTTACACGTTTTTTGCTATAACGTCAGTCCAAAACACTTGTTTTTGCAGTGTTTTCAATGCTCTGGCATCCAAAAACCCTGCAAAATCTCGCTATGTACATGTTTTTTTCATTTTTTTGGCCGTTTTTTTTCCATTGCCGGAAAGCTCACCAAAATGAACCAAAAATTCCATTTCAATACCCTCTTGCGCTCAGACACCCAAAAATCCCTCGAAAAATGGAAAACATCACCGAATTCTGGTTTCGGGGGGAAACCCTTTTTTCCCCCCCCCCCCCCAGCTAAAGCTGATATAGCGACTGCTATATTAACAAATGTGATTGAGCATTTAGTGCAGCTGTTTCCCCCCAATAAGCACGCCTTCACCGCCAAAGCGGTGTGGGCGGATTTTCAGGAGGTACAGCCTCATTGTCATTGTGGCCGTCGCCAACGTTCAATCCACATATCGTACAGTACATACACCCAGGCTAAATGGCGAGACTATATGTAGTCCTGTTTTGAGAACTTGCAGTAGTTAAGAATTCCTACGTTTCAAAGTGCTCAGATACAGTAGATGGTGTAGTGTAGAGATAGGGTTTGGCAGGGGCACACTGGTGGTCAAGTTTTTGCTAGTGTGTGAAAGTTTCTGTGTGTATTTTTTTCGTGTGTAAAAGGTTTCTCTGTGTAAATATGTGTGTGTATAAACGTTTTCGTGTGCAGTCTCCGAGCGGTTGCAGTGCTTAAATCGTTTATCTCCAACCTGCAACGTGCCAGGACACGGAAACTTTCCTCATCATTGGCAGTCCGGCAATTCTCACGCGCAAATGGTGTGTGGGTGAGATGGTGACAGCACATCGGAACAACGTGAAGACTCTGCTCCTTTCTTGGCCAGCATTCCTGAAACCAGATGAGAAGTTCATTGAGCACTTCCCAACCCTCGTCCCAGATTATGGAGAGCTCGCCAACCATGGCATTGGCCTGTCAGATGTGGCGAAAACTTTCAGATGGCTGCACACGGTCGCAAGTCACAATTTGCCAGAGAAATTCACGCCGAGCTCGGCATTTCCTCTGGTAAGTATGTTGTGTGGCCAGTCATTGTCAGCTCGCAGAAGGACATCTTTTTATTCCACAGATTGCCCAGTGTTAGCAAACCCTGAAGACACAGAGGCAATGGCCACGGCCATGGTGCTGTCTTCAATGTTGAACCCCAAACTGATTGGCACCCGTTTGCCACTTACCTCCGTCTTGGAGGAAAGCAACGACGTGCGCGACGGAGCCCAGGTGGCGTTGATGATTTGCAGTTCCAACTGCTGGAAGTCAGCCCAAGTGGAGCGCTGGTTGTTGCAGACCAGCCAGCTCCCTTCCTGCGGAGTGATTCCAGTGATCGCTGAAGACAACTTCTTGGTACCATCACCAAGCATGTACGAAGAGCTGCGTCCAACCTCTTTGCTTGATCAGCAAGAATTCCAGCGCTACTGTATGGTCATCAAGGCTCTTTTCCAAGAGATTGCAGTAGTCTTTGTGCCGCAGAACTATTCCTCCACCCATGAAGATTTGCTGCTTCGAGCCAATCAAGCAGCTGGGAGGCTTCAGGCCATCCTGACACCTCTGGCTGAGAAAGTGAGAGCCATTGAGGATAGGGATGGCTACAAACACATCGCAGAAATTGACAAAGGAGTCACTCTTAAGGAGGACGACTGGAAGGAGGACCCTGTTCTCGGAAAAATTGTGACCGCAACGCTGTAGTGTTCTTTTTTCTGATGCCGATGAGGGTCAAAGACTCGATACATTATACATTTTTTCAGTTCTTCTTGTTGCTGCCTTTCCCTAGGCTAGGGTCTCGCGAATGCGCCCGTCGCGCAGAATTATTGCACATTCCACAAAGTGGAACATTGTGCACTTCATGCAACATCAAGAGGTTTCAGGAGTACGTTGTGCGAGGTCCAAAATGCTGTTCTCATCAATGATGCGTGTGACAAATGTGTAGATATGTAATGATATTTATAGATTTTCAAAATGATCACCATGTTCATGAACAAAATGATGTTACGATTGTTATTGAAGGAGTGTAGAAGTCAATCTTCGAACTTGAGAGATGAAGCCACTGCCAGAGAGAAGATGCACACTGGAAATGGTGGCAAATGGTATGGTATGGCAAACCACGGCAAACCTTGATCATACACCCCAAAGGACATAATTAATTGAAGTAGACAGCAAGCGCATATCTAACGATTAGTGTGGAATTACTCAGGACTTACGGAAATTGTTTTTTTGTAAGACATTTTATGGACATAACATCAGCATGTTGTCAACCCTTGCTTCGAATCTATGATCCATTTGGATCCTTTCGAGATTGGGCCTTGCCTCAGCTCAGCTCAAACAGTGGGACAGTGGGAAGGCATGGATTTATAGTACCGCCATGAACGATGCAGGGGCCTCAGGGCGTCAGGCCATGAGATGTACAAGTTGTGTCGTGCGTGCGGGCTTCGTGCATCGCCAGGATGAGAATTGGGAGATGGCGGGCTTTTGCCCCCAGAACAAGGAGAGACCAAACTTCCAATGAAAGTAGAAACAAGAAAATGAAAGTGGAGGATGATGGATGATGTGAAGCAGGAAATAAGCAGAAACAACTGGCAGATCATTCGGATTGAGAGCCTGTCAGGACCCAGGCTTCGGAGAATTTGTGGGACAGGCACCAGTGGGCACCAGACGATGTTTTTTCAACCTGCAAACTTGTTTCATCTGGTTTCTGTTTTGGATGAAATATGATAAAATGCGAAAAAATGCAATAAAGGTCAATCAATTGCGGTAGGATTGTGATCTTTGGATAGCAACCTGCGAAAAATCGTTCCCTTTTCGCAGGTAGATGCGGTTCTACCCAGCGGCTGTTGTTTTGTGAAGTGCCAGGAGGTGAAGGCTGGGCACCTATGGCACCATGGCACCAGAGACCCCAGCAGTTTTCGTTCGTCTTGCACGACCAGGACCTCTATGACGTGGATGCCTACGTTCACAGCAGCGCCATTGTCTTACATCGAATTACACCAGCATCGGACATCTGCAAAACAAGTTTTTTTTAGTGAGAATTTCGGACAGTTCATTCTGAGGTCGTTCAGCAATGCTCCCTTCAACCTGGGGAAGAGTCCGGGCCCGATCTTGATATGATTTGATGACAGGATCAGTGAATCTGGATGAAGGACACCATTCAGCACATTGAAATACTTGTGCCTTTCCCATCTCTTTCCAATCATTTCCCATGTCAGGATTTGCTTCAACGTTCATGTGAGCAGCGCTGGCAGACCACAGGCGCGAGAGATTCACCGGATTGGTTCCTTGTCCCCCAAACCTTTCCAGCAACCGAGTCAACCGAGCGACCGTTGCCCACAAAAGTCCGCTGCAGGTGTCAGCCCCATGCCGGTCTCTTAGGGTTGACCACTGACCATCCACTGACCAAACAGCAATGGATCAACGATGGCAACGTTGGCCTCACCACAATCCTCCTCTTTGATGAAAACTCTGGGACTTAGGCTGGAAGAGAAGACAGGGCTTGAAGCGGCCTCTGACAGGGCAGGCAATGTGTCATGACCTGTGACATCTTTGATCTTGTTATATCATATATATATAATTATTAATATTAATATATGAATTATATGTATATATTCTTTGATTGTAGCATGATAGTCAGATAGTCCTTGACATGCCCTTGACATGTTGAAGTCATGCCAGGCTGGTGGATTTGGCGGTATCCAAGGCATCAGGGCTGCATGGGGCTGCTGTTTTCGCCCCATTTTTGCCATCTGAAGGCGCCAATGGCGGGAAAAGCGTTGCGAAGGGACAAAGCGGTCGAAAGCCCAGAGCACCGGCGAAGGGATGGATTAAATCCAATGATACCACCTGGTTATTTAGCATAGCTATGGAAAATCACCATCTTTAATAGGTAAATCATCATAAATCATCATAAATCATCTATTTCTATGGGCCATTTTCCATGGCTATGTTAACTAACCAGAGGATACATATAATTGACCATTTATTCAAGAATATCTTGAACGTGGTTCAACAATGTTCAACATGTTTTAACCCTAAAGTCCTGTCGTTTTATCAGCAGATCATATCCCCGATAAACTGCAGAATTTTGCAACGACCCAGGTGCCTGGCAACGTCCAGGTGGTGAAGTGGTGAAGGCGGTGGATGAACTCATATGGGCTCATGGTTTATACCAACCATTTAAATTTTATGATTTTTATGGTCAAATTGGTGTGGATCCTATAAATTGCTTTACCAACATTGACCACAACTCAATTTCATTTTGCATGTTGTCTGCATGTCGAAGCTCCACCTCTGTCAGCTAGCTTTTCAAGCAACATAATATGCAAAGACGAATTCAAATACCTTTTCCAAGCTGTCACATACTTTCTTAAGCCAGATTGGACCACCAGTTCGCCGGCTTTGGATTGATGTTGACAAGAACATCCATGAAATTCGATTTGTTTTGCTTGAATTTCGGTGAAGTGCTGTGCCAGAGAATTCAGAAGCAAATCTTGCAAGCACGCATTACCTTTTTGCTCTCATCCTTCATATCCACAGCATTGCGTTACGACATGTTACGACTCAACATGCTTATTGGTGCTCAACATGGACAATGAGCTGGATGAACAGCTGGATGAACAGCTGGATGAGTCCTCGGCTCCGTTATCTCCGGTGGACGGAGCCCTTGCAGCCGCAGGTGTCACGCCTGAGGAGCTCGCTTTGTGCATCTCCGTGCTGTCGCGTCTGCAGGAGGCAGAAGAAACGGGGACGTTGGACCGCAACGCAGCCTGTTTGAGACCGCTGCGGAAGGCTTTGTCTCTCCACCTGCGGCAGAACTTCAGCCACCTGCCACAGAAAGATGTCATTGATGACAAAGAGCGGAAGAGGTTGGAGAAGGAACGAAAGAGGGAACGAAGACAACGACAACTGGAAGCGGACAAACGGTGGAAGGAGAACGCGCAGCTTCGCGCTTCGCGACTTGCAAAACTTGAAGCCTTGGAAGGCTCAGCCGCTGATTCGATGCTGGCAGATGGAGCTGAAGTCAGCCAGGCTCTGCAGGGGTCTCAACAGTCTCAACGGATCCCAGATGGACCTGCAGATGTAGAGTATCCAACGGTGCCAGAACTGAAAGAAGCCGAGGAATCTGTGGAATACCAGCGACAGCAGGCGTGTTACATTTGTAAAGTTCGTTTCTCTGAAAGACATCACTTCTATTCCCATCTGTGCCCAGCCTGCGCGGCCTTGAATTTTGAAAAGCGAAATCAAACCAGAGACATGACAGGCCGTGTTTGTTTGGTGACTGGAGCACGGGTAAAGATTGGGTTCCAAGTTGCATTGAAATTCCTGCGTATGGGTGCACGAGTTCTGGTGACGAGTCGCTTTCCACGCGATGCCCTTGGTCGCTATGCGACTGAGACGGATGCCGCTGAGTGGATGGATCGACTTCGAATCATCGGTGCAGATTTTCGTTTCCTGGGTGGTGTTGAAGCCATGTGCCACGAATTGTGTCAGAAAGAGCCCTATTTGGATGTTATTGTGAACAACGCGTGCCAAACCATTCGCCGGCCAGCTGCATACTATGCGCATTTGTTGGAGGGTGAAGCAGGGGCAGCGACCAAAGCAGTGACGGACTCAACAGCTCAAACGGCTCGAGCAGCTCAAGCCCTAGATTTTTCTGGTGATTCTGGTGGCTATGCCGTGGATCAAAGCAGCGCGGCTTTGTCACAGCTCGCCGTGTTGAGCGAGGACCGTATGAGAGCAGAAGAAGTTGCCATGGCCCTGCCCTCGGGGCAGCGTGATGTGCATGGGCAGCAGCTGGACCTTCGCAGCAGCAACAGCTGGTTGCTGAAGTTGGGAGAAATTCAAAGCCCTGAGGCAGCAGAGGTTTTCTGCATCAATACCCTGGCTCCGTTCATCATCAACAGCACCTTGAGACCTTTGCTGGAAAGATCCCCCAACCCAGATAGATACATCGTGAATGTCTCTGCCATGGAGGGCAAGTTCTACCGATACAAGCAGCCCACCCACCCACATACGAACATGGCCAAGGTGCCCCTTCGTTTATTTCGTTCATTTTTGGGGGGGTTCAGGATCGGGCCCATGAATGTGTTTGTGCGTTTGGGCAGCTGCATGGGCTTGGATATCACTGTAAGATTGGATAAGTATGTATATAATTACGATTAATTACGTATAGACTCGACATGTATATTATTTTAATTAGCGCATGCTCTTTGATGCATTTCAGGCATTTAAATTTTCAGGCAGACAATTAGCGCATGAGTGTTGTCCTGGCAGAACTGTCACAATGGACATCTTGTGTTCTTGCAGCTACCCATTTTCTTTCCCCAATTATTAGCTGTCCCAGGTGTTTTCCAGACGTATTTCATTCCAACCAAACAAGAATTCCCTGAGGCCGCTCTCAGCATGATGACGCGCACATGCGCGGAGGATCTCGCAATGAACAGCGGAGTCTATATGAATAGTGTGGACACCGGCTGGATCAACGATGAGAATCCGCTGCCCACAGCCCAACGAATTGCTGAGAGCCACAACTTCCAGACACCCATCGATGAAATCGATGCAGCTGCTCGCATTGTGGATCCTGTGTTGGTTGGAATGGGATCCACGGGGTCCACGGTGGGTCGACCCAAAAAGCGCGGAGCCATGGCGGGGGGGTTGACAGATGGCTCTGAGGGTCCACCTTGGGGTTGGTTCCTGAAGGATTACATGCAGAGTGAGCCTTGGTGGTGGGGTCCACACTGTGGGAGTCACCTTTTTGAGTTACTTTTGCCATCTTTTGCCTTCTCTTTGTGGGGGAATTTCTACTTAAGTTCAACTTAGCTGAGCTCCAGGATTTTTGAAGGCCATACCGAGTCTTCCTAAATTGATTCATTCCAAATGATTGGACACTGTTGGAACATTGTTTTCAGATTCACATGATTCACCGATGGCTTCGCTTTCGGACCAATTTGAAAGACTAGGAGTGGTGATCAAGTGATGATTCGGATGTTGCAGAGCTGCTTCAAGGAGGTTCTGAGTCTGATTCCTGATGATCTCGAAGCGAGACAGCTCGAGACAGCTAGGCCGCTAGGCGTGTTGAAGCAAAAGAAGAGCTTGCAAACCAGCTGGCCGACAGGATTCCATGTGTTTTTGTGGTGTTTGCCCTTCGGAAGGGCCCTTCTCTTACTTAACAAACATCGATTCTACGTAGATTCTGGGATGGGCGCCGCACCATTCCAGGCCCGGCGTTTAGTGGAGAGCCTGAATCCCTCAGGCGCATGGCTCAGCATGGCTCAGCATGGCTCAGCACCAGGTAAATCCAGGTAAATCCAGGTGAATCCAGGTGATGTGGTGCGACCGCTTGCCACGATATGCCACGGATCAGCGATGCTAAAGTGTTCAAAGATGTTCAAAGATGTTCAAAGTGTGTTCATGTTCGATCCCAGGCCAGGGCAAGGGCATGGGCAATGGCCTGACACCTGAAAAGTTTGACAATGCAAGACAGTCATAAAATGTCTTTTCATGTCTTTTCATGTCTTTTCATTGCCAGATATTGCAAGAGAATGTAAGATATTGTAAGCACATGTGCATTGTGTACGCATGTTGAGTCTTCTTCTCAGTGTTGTGCGCTTCTTTGTGGTGTCATTGATGTTCATTGAGGAAATGCCGCCGTCCAAGCTATGCAAATGGCGGAGCCAGATCAAGGCAAACTGTGTTGGACCTTATTGGACTGTCATGTCCTTCGCCCATGGCAGATGCGGCGCAGGCTTCCCGGTTGACGATGCCGCCCAGTTCCTGATCGGCACCATAAAGATTACCAATTTCGATCCCACTTCCCGCCCAGTCCTTGCCTCGGGAAATTTCGCAATGTTTGATCATGTTTGATCTATTTACGAATCAAGTGTGTTGGGATTTGGCATCAAGCTGGTTCTGATTTGAGGCAAAGGACTTCAGCTTGATCGCATGTCCAGAGACAGGGCTCCTTCTATGCAATGTGTGAGTGTTCACATGGTTTGTGGCATGCGGTGCATAGAGGAAGACCCCCTGCATTAGGGCCCATTCAAGGCTTCCGCAAGATGTGTATGTGCGTGGAGCAGTGGCAACCTCTCAGGCATGGATTGCTGTCTGTGGCAAAACATGTCCGGAAAATATTAACGGATTGGAATGTGGCTTTCCTGCCAGGCCTTTGCAGTTGGTGACATGGTAGCTTTTGCCTATCATATGACTGAAAAAGGCCCACAGGCGCGGACGCACCTTTGACCACTGACATTCCATTCCAATGGCCTCCCCATCCCATTCCAAAAGGTCCGTGCGCGCAATGTCCAGGCAACTGCTGTTTTCAAGCTGGTGGGCTTTGGCCTAAATACATCTAAATGCATTTGCCCATCTTGGGCTTGGTAGTTCACAGCTGCCAATGATCTCCAGCATTTTGCTGAGGATTTTTGCAAGCAGGAAGGGAGGTCCAATTCCCCCCGTATCAGGGCAGCGCACCCAGATGACCTCGGATGACATCACAAATTCGGTGAGACACAGGTGGTAAACACGGCACTGGCTTTGGATAGCTTTGGATTTGAGACGATTTGAGGCCTCATCCACAGAGTTCTGCCGAATGGAAACGGCTTCATCAAGTGTCACCCAGCTGCATCAGAGCATATCAGAGCCCAGTGGCGGAAAGATGACGTCAAGCGCAGAAAAGTTGAAACCGAGGCGATGCGATCACGGCTGAATACGGCCCCGCACTTGTTGGAGAACGGTGGAGAAAGTATGATTGCAGGTGACTGCAGGTGATTGCATAACTCTGGAAACTGCCACCTGAGGCAAGGATGTTTGGTCCCCAGTGGAGTTAGCTCAGAAACCTGCCAGAATTTGAACCAATCATTTCCCCATCCCCCAACTTTGAGGCATTCATCCATGCCAGTGTCGTGCAGCAGTGTGGCCTGAATGAGCAGGACAGTCTTCACATGTTTCACGTCGTTTGCTTTGTCAGCTGCCAGGTTTTCATTGAATTGCGCAATCAGGTCAGTTGGAAAATGCTTGGAAACCTCGGGCGGACATGAGCCCACATTGACACTTGTCCAGCGTATCCCACAGCGAACCTCTGATATTCGAAGCGGTCCCGGTTAAATGGCATGCCGATTTATATTTATACAGTTTAATATATTTACTAGCGAGGGGGTGATCATAAACGATGCCGTGAATGAATGCATCAGGACATAATCGCTTTCGATGTGCACATCAGCAAAGAGGGCAACCCTCAGGCAGGGCTGCAAACAAATGCTGACGAACCTGGCACATGTCAAGATTTACAACCGCCAGAAACACAATCCGCATGGATTGAATCTGCATGGATTGGCCGAAAGTCATGAAACATCGATATTTCATGGATCCATGTAGCTGATTAAAACATGATAAAACATGGGTTTAACATGGTTTAACATTGCTTGTTCAAAGCCACCGTTGAGATGCTCAGCATTGCAGGCCTCTGCCCCTTGCCACGGCCCTATTCAAGTTGGCAGCTGTCAGCTGTGGTTTTCGCAAATCCTCCAAGTTCCAAGATTCCAATCCAAATCCATTTCCAATCCCAGTGGAGTGTAGCGGCTGCAGGTTGGCAACAAATTGCTCCTACCAGCAACTTCCAGGTGCCGCGCTGGGAGTTGCTTTCAGTGAGTCGCATTGCAAAGCAATCCGCAGGCTGTGATGCAAGCGCCGCAAGTGCAAACTCGGATGCCGGGAGCGTTTGGAGCCATGGGGGGATGGATATGGATGATACGGATGGAGGTTCATGGAGGTTCTATATGTTTCAGTCACCTTCCCCAGATCCCAGGTTTCAGTCAGTTCCAATGGCTGGGAAAGGCGCTGGAAAGGCCCCCCTTGGAAAAGGCAGGGGCCTCCGACTTTCTGCGTTGGTGAGCTTGTGGAGCTCCAAATTTTCTACAGAAATTTGACCTACTGTTGATGGAAGAAATCCTGCACCACTTTCAAAGGCCTACACTTAAAGCCTCGCGCTCCTAATTTAATATTGTTTGAAGACGCAGTGATCAAAATGGATTTGTCCGATTGACGGAAATCCTGCACCACCTGTCGACATGTCATTCAACATTGAGCTTGGGGGTACGGGGGTACAAGTTATGCATTAGCAAATCTAAGGTTATAGAGGTGGTGCAGGATTTCTTCCACCCACCGAAGAAAGAAAAGGATTTCTTGTATTTTTGGTCCTTCACATTTCTGCCCGTCACCAGCTACTTCCAGGGGATCAAATCCATCGTCGGTCCTTCGCATAGTTCCCCCAGTGTGCTTCATTCTTCACCTGCACACAGCTGAGCACGAGGCAAAATGAGCTACATGGCAGCCAACGTGCGCTACACTGCAAACTACACGCAACACTCACGCTACACTACACGCAACACTACACGCTACACTACACGCAGCATTTCAGGTCAGGACAGAAAAACTGACTTGTATTTTCATGTCATTCCTTCAAAGCATGAAAGCTCCAAAATGCTGCCCCTGCCAGCAGTTCGGTAGTGTTGCGTGCAGTGTAGCGTGTAGTGTTGCGTGTAGTGTAGCGTGTAGTGTTGCGTGGGGCTGCCACGCAACACTGGTCACTTTCACATGCTTCTTTGAAAAGGATTCTGCTTCCTCCTGTCTCCGGGTGCGGCAACCGTTTTCCGGCATGCCAGCGCTGCTCTGCCCAGCTTGTGTTGCAATATAGTCATATCTACATGCACCTTGCTTGATGACCTTTAATTCAAAGGTTGAAATCTGACAAGAAAAAATGCATATGGCCAAAACATCCTTCAGCTTCTGCCCGCTGATTCTTTGCAGTTCTTCACCCAGGCACATAGAATTTCAGTACCGAAGAAAGAAAAGGATTTCTTGTATTTTTGGTCCTTCACATTTCTGCCCGTCACCAGCTACTTCCAGGGGATCAAATCCATCGTCGGTCCTTCGCATAGTTCCCCCAGTGTGCTTCATTCTTCACCTGCACACAGCTGAGCACGAGGCAAAATGAGCTACATGGCAGCCAACGTGCGCTACACTGCAAACTACACGCAACACTCACGCTACACTACACGCAACACTACACGCTACACTACACGCAACACTACCGAAATGCTGCCAGGGGCAGCATTTCAGGTCAGGACAGAAAAACTGACTTGTATTTTCATTTCATTCCTTCAAAGCATGAAAGCTCCAAAATGCTGCCCCTGCGCCGTTTTCGGTAGTGGTTGCGTGCATGTAAGCGTGTAGTGTTTGCGTGTAGTGTAAAGCGTGTTAGTGTTGCTTGGGCTGCCACGCAACCACTGTTCACTTTAACATTCTCTTTGAAAAGTTGATTCTGCTTTCCTCCTTCTGGTCAGGCAACCATTTTCCGGCATGCCAGCGCTGCTCTGCCCAGCTTGTGTTGCAATATAGTCAAATCTAAATGCACCAGGCTTGATGACCTTTAATTCAAAGGCTGATCTGACAAGATAACGAATGCATATGGCCAAAACATCCTTCAGCTTCTGCCCGCTGATTCTTTGCAGTTCTTCAACCAGGCACATAAAATTTCAGTACGAAGAAAGAAAAGGATTCCTTGTATTTTTGGTCTTGCAAATTTCTGCCCGTCACCAGCTACTTCCAGGGGATCAAATCCATCGTCGGTTCTTCTTATAGTTCCCCCAGTGTGCTTCACTCTTCACCTGCACACAGCTGAGCACGAGGCAAAATGAGCTACATGGCAGCCGCCACACGCTACACTGCAAACCACACGCAACACTCACGCTACACTACACGCAACACTACAAGCTACACTACACGCAACACTACCAAAATGCTGCCAGGGGCAGCATTTCAGGTCAGGACAGAAAAAGCTGACTTGTATTTTGTTTCGTTCCTTAAAAGCCTCAAAGCTCCAAAATGCTGCCCCTGCCAGCAGTTCGGTAGTGTTGCGTGCAGTGTAGCGTGTAGTGTTGCGTGTAGTGTAGCGTGTAGTGTTGCGTGGGGCTGCCACGCAACACTGGTCACTTTCACGTGCTTCTTTGAAAAGGATTCTGCTTCCTCCCTCCTCCTGGTCCGGCAACCATTTTCCGGCATGCCAGCGCTGCTCTGCCCAGCTTGTGTTGCAATATAGTCAAATCTAAATGCACCAGGCTTGATGACCTTTGAATTCAAAGGTTGATGATCTGACAAGCTAATGAATGCATATGGCCAAAACATCCTTCAGCTTCTGCCCGCTGATTCTTTGCAGTTCTTCAACCAGGCACATAAAATTTCAGTACTGTTGATGGAAGAAATCCTGCACCACTTTCAAAGCCTACACTTGAAACCTCGCGCTCCTAATTTAATATTGTTTGAAGACACAGTGATCAAAATGGATTTGCGCGAGTGACGGAAATCCTGCACCACCTGTCAACATGTCATTCAACATTGAGCTTGGGGGTACGGGGGCACAAGTTATGCATTAGCAAGTCTAAGGTTATAAGACGTGGTGCAGGATTTCTTCCACCCACCGAAGAACGAAAAGGATTCCTTGTATTTTTGGTCTTGCAAATTTCTGCCCGTCACCAGCTACTTCCAGGGGATCAAATCCATCGTCGGTTCTTCTTATAGTTCCCCCAGTGTGCTTCACTCTTCACCTGCACACAGCTGAGCACGAGGCAAAATGAGCTACATGGCAGCCGCCACACGCTACACTGCAAACCACACGCAACACTCACGCTACACTACACGCAACACTACACGCTACACTACACGCAACACTACCAAAATGCTGCCAGGGGCAGCATTTCAGGTCAGGACAGAAAAAGCTGACTTGTATTTTCGTTTCGTTCCTTAAAAGCCTCAAAGCTCCAAAATGCTGCCCCTGCCAGCAGTTCGGTAGTGTTGCGTGCAGTGTAGCGTGTAGTGTTGCGTGTAGTGTTGCGTGTAGTGTTGCGTGGGGCTGCCACGCAACACTGGTCACTTTCGCGTGCTTCTTTTGAAAAGATTTTGCTTCCTCCCTCCTTCTGGTCAGGCAACCATTTTCCGGCATGCCAGCGCTGCTCTGCCCAGCTTGTGTTGCAATATAGTCAAATCTAAATGCACCAGGCTTGATGACCTTTAATTCAAAGGTTGATCTGCCGACAAGATAACGAATGCATATGGCCAAAACATCCTTCAGCTTCTGCCCGCTGATTCTTTGCAGTTCTTCAACCAGGCACATAAAATTTCAGTACGAAGAAAGAAAAGGATTCCTTGTATTATTGGTTTGCAAATTTCTGCCCGTCACCAGCTACTTCCAGGGGATCAAATCCATCGTCGGTTCTTCTTATAGTTCCCCCAGTGTGCTTCACTCTTCACCTGCACACAGCTGAGCACGAGGCAAAATGAGCTACATGGAAGCCGCCAAACGCTACACTGCAAACCACACGCAACACTCACGCTACACTACACGCAACACGACAAGCTACACTACACGCAACACTACCAAAATGCTGCCAGGGGCAGCATTTCAGGTCAGGACAGAAAAAGCTGACTTGTATTTTCGTTTCGTTCCTTAAAAGCCTCAAAGCTCCAAAATGCTGCCCCTGCCAGCAGTTCGATAGTGTTGCGTGCAGTGTAGCGTGTAGTGTTGCGTGTAGTGTAGCGTGTAGTGTTGCGTGGGGCTGCCACGCAACACTGGTCACTTTCACGTGCTTCTTTTGACAAGATTCTGCTTCCTCCCTCCTTCTGGTCAGGCAACCATTTTCCGGCATGCCAGCGCTGCTCTGCCCAGCTTGTGTTGCAATATAGTCAAATCTAAATGCACCAGGCT